AGGCGACCCGCTGAGAGATGGACTTGGCAGGCGTGCTGCTGGCGTTGCTCCTCGTGCTGGTGCTGGTTGTCTCTCTGCTCTCCAACCTCCTGGTGCTGCTATGCTTCGTCTACAGTACGGAGATCCGCAAGCAGGTCGCCGGGGTTTTCCTGGTGAACTTATCCTTTTGCAACCTGCTCCTCACCGTTCTGAACATGCCTTTTACCCTGCTGGGGATCCTGAGGAACCAGCAACCGCTCGGGGACTGCGTCTGCAAAGCGGTGGGTTTCCTGGAAACTTTCCTGACTTCCAACACGATGCTGAGCATGGCAGCGCTCAGCATCGACAAATGGATTGCCGTGGTGTTCCCCTTAAGCTACACCAGCAAGATGCGGTATAAGGACGCTGTGATACTGATGGGCTACTCGTGGCTCCACTCCCTCACATTCCCCTTGGTATCCTTGTTTTACTCGTGGGTAGATTACAACAGCGTTTATGCCTCTTGCACCTTGCACCTGAAGGAAGAGACGGAGCGGAGAAGGTTTACAGTGTTCACCATCGTCTTTCACTCCACCAGTTTCATGCTGTCGCTGGTGATCTTGTGTTTCACCTATTTAAAGGTGTTGAAAGTTGCCCGGTTCCACTGCAAGCGGATAGACATTATTACCATGCAGACTCTGGTTTTGCTGGTGGATATCCACCCCAGGTAATGTGTGCGTGTTCGTATTCACAGCCCCGGGGCACTCGCCGTAGGTACCCCGGGCGGAGAGGATGCCCTGCCTCCCCAGCGCCCTTTCCTGCCCTCCTGCCTGCCCCGGCCACATGGCCAACGCTTCTGCCTCTAGTTTCAGACGCTGCTTATAGTGCCAGAAGACGGTGGCTTGTGCATTTGTAGCCTGCTTTGTTTAAATGCTAGTCCCGCTCTTCGGGTGCTCCCACTTGCCCGAGCTCCCTTTAACAGGGAGCCGCTGCTTTGGTGAGTACGATCGTCCCCAGGCTCGGCGGGGCCGGGGCTGCGCTCCCCTCCCCCGGGAGCTGCCACCCTCCCGGGCCGGGGCTGCCCTGCCCTGCCCCGGGACTTGCCACCCTCCGGGGCCGGCGCAGGGGCTGCCCTCCCCTCCCCCGGGGCAGGGGCTCTCGGGCCGGGAGCGAGTCCCTCCCCTCTCCTCTGAGCTCCCATCTCGCCTCCTCGCTTCTTGCCTTAACCCACCGACTGCTCTTTTCCCTCTGCAGTGTGAAACAGCGCTGTCTTAATGAGCAGAAACGGAGGAGGCAGCGGGCTACCAAGAAAATCAGTATTTTTATAGGGTCGTTCGTGATCTGTTTTGGTCCTTACATTATCACCAGGTTAGTATCGCCTGTTGGGGTGGGGGACTTTCCGGGACCAGTATGCCCTGTGATGCGCAGGTGCCCGGGGGGGCGGGCTACAGCTAATTTTGGGGTGCCAGAGCCTGACGGAGACCCGGGGCCAGTTCTAGAGGGGCAGAGCACACACACGCACACACACACACACGCACGCACACACACGTACTCACACTCACACACACGCTGGCCCTGCCTGCACGCCCAGCCACTGGGCAAAGCCTCGGCAGCCTCTGGCTCTCCTTTCCTCCATGCAGCCAGGTCTGGGTGCCTCTGCCAAGACCAAGAGGCTTTTAGGACAAGTACCAGGAATTAATTACATGCCAGTGGGAGATGAAAGCAGTTTAAAAGCCTTGCCACCCTTCCTTATTACCATAACCCAAGCAAAAGAAAGGAAAGCAGACAGCTTTTCATGAGTAGCTCAGGTATCTTTTTTTTTAAAGGCGTAAGGCCAAACTTGCTGCTATTGGAAGCTGAGGTGACATAATTTAAATTTATCCAGGCTGATAATTTGTCAGATAAGCTTTGTGTCTTGAAACATTAATGTCTGTAAATATATTGCTAATGGTGCAGCATGGCCTTGTGATGAGGTATGAGAGTTATCTCCCAGGAAAACCAATAATTAGACTTTTAAAATGTATAGGAAACACCATGCTCCTCAACTGGTCAGAATCATTGGCCTCCACCCCAGTGGTTTGCACCTTTTTAAGTAGTCATGTATCATTCTCATTCCGTACTTGCGTAGTCTTTGTACAACATATGGTTATTATTTTTAAATCTTGCATAAATCAGTGAGCTGGAAGCCAATGTAACTCTACTGAATTTCAGCACCTCAGGATTTAGCCTTTCATCTCTAAACTGAAATGGGCTACATCTTTCACTAGTGATTTTTTCAAATATTTCCCACTTCACAGTGTGTTCAAGAAACACTTGAAGAGAACTGACTTCTGTCGAGGAAGGCGCACTAGTCTGCGAAACCACCCTGGTGAGGGCTTCCTCAAGGCTGCTGCCAAGCTGCCAGGGTCTGCAGCCATGCCAGCTTACAGAAACTGGCCAGCTTTAGCGCACTGATCTTACACAGTCACACATACATAGGCCACTTATGATCACTGCCATTGCCCTTTGCTTACATGGGTAGGGGGACAGATCAAGGCCAGTGCACAAAAATGACAGTGTTTTTTAACCTTTAGGATGACATTTCTTTCGGTTCCCATTTATATGTTGAAAGGGATTCCTGACTGATTGCCTGAATAACTGCATTTTTTTTCTGCAGTTGAAAGGATTATTACAAATATTAACATTACATCACAGAGTTAAAAGGTTAATTGATCACCGTTCAGTACATTCTGAGTCATTTTCTAATCACTTTTGCCATAATCAGGATATAATTATATTGAGCAAAGGGGATTTTGCCATCTTCTTTCCATCTGAACATTACCAAGCGCAGCAAGTTCCAGCATTGCCACATTTTACAGGGTGGAGATATTTCTCATAAACTTCTAAACTGAAAGTGACTTCTATCTTCAGATCTTGCATTTGGCAAATGTGAGATGGTGCATTTTCTATGTGTGGCAAACTGGTATCTCATGTATCACTAGAGAGAAGACTGAGGGTTAGTTTACGTAAATGTGTGTGTCAAGGTACAGCTTCTGTCTCAGTCACAGGGACCGGCGTGGTTCAGTGACAGCAAAATGGGAAGAATTTGGGGAGGACATCCCCAAAGGCTCTTTGTCCCAAAGGCACGACAGTGTCCAGGCAACACTAGATAAACAGTGGTGGTGGAGGTGAGGTTGGAGGACTTGCTGCCATGCCCATTTCTCCATCCTTCCCCCGTTCTGGTTTTTAGGGGGGTGCTGCTGAAGCGATCTCTATGGAGGCAATGTGAGAGATTTCCTCCCCTGCTTTCTTGCTCTTCGGCCTGGTGACTCAGGTTGCGTTGTGAGCTCAGTATTTGCTCCTCATTTCAGAAATGTGCATGAGATTATGATCATTAGCGATATATTCATCTGTTCACTAAGAGCCGACAGATTAATTTAATCTTTTTTGTAACAAAACTGAAAACAAGAAAATGATACTAAGATGCATTCAAATGGATATTTCTAAGGCTGACTTGATTTGGCCAGACCCTTTATCTTATTAAAATCTGTGTAATTTTTCTTCTGTTGGCTTCAGTGCAAATATGTTTGGGCCCATAATACGTTAAAGGGAACAGATAGTAATACATCTGTTTTCATGACTGAAAGATACCTTACTCTTCTTATTTAGTGTCTTTATAAAAACACCAATCACGTAAATATCAAATGTATATTTCTTGTATTAAGATGATATACAGGATGGGATAAACCTAAGCAACCATGCAGCAAGTGTCATTTATTGTACATTTATTTATTTCTCACATTTTGTATCTGGTACATTTATTTATTCCTCACATTTTGTGTTGTCTTGTTCTCTCTGTTTGGAATTCACTGGAATTTTTTCCAAGCAGCTTCAGACAGAAGTCATCTGGTTTTTAAATGCACTTACCATAGGAATGATTTCACTTTTATGCATACAAATGAGAAATTTTCCTGTCAGAGTTCAACCACTTGTTGCAATGTTCAGTCCTAGTGGTGGTAAGTCAGTTTTTCTATGCAGAGGGATCAGAACAGCTTCAAAAGTCAACACCCTGCAAGTTGAGAGCTCTGCACTTTGGAAAGAGGCCAAAAGGTTCTTCAAGCCTTGAGAAAGCTTCTGATCTTACATCTTCAAACAGTGATGTTTTAGGGTACAGAAAAGGGCTATTTTGTCTCATGGTACTTTTCTTCTGGAATTAATATGGCAAAATAGTATATTCTTGCTCCTGCAAAAGGTTTCACCAAAGATGTACAGATAATAAAAACTTCTCACCCTGTTATTTCCACCTTCCTGGAGAGTTTGCCCACTGCAGATGAGCTGTATGCCAGCCATTTGCTGGAATAGTCTGAAGTTTTGCTCTCACTTCTGTGGAAAAAATGTTTAACTTAGTTGCAGTTTCTGCACCCATGATTAATACACCCATCTCAGCTGAGGTGCTGAGGCCACTAATCATCTGCGAAGCACAGACCAGGAGGCACAGGTCTGGAGACAGCTGGCTGGTCATATAATGATGATAAAAGTGTTGTCTCCTTGTTTTCTTTGGCCAAACTAGCGGTCAGCCAAGTGCACACAGAAACTTTCACAGGTAAGTAGATGCAGTTGTGTTCCTAAGCATACTACAGGATTGCAGGTGCCACCCAAACCTCTCTGAGATACTGCTGTGCTGTTCTTCATACTACAGTGAATCCTCTTTGCTTGTGTGATAATTCACAGCAGTGGTGCAATGCAGGTTCACTGTTCTGCATCTGAGGGGGTGGATTCAGTGATCTAGACCAGGTTTCTGGTGTCATTTGAGATGCTGCATAGTGTCCAAAACCTTTACATGGGTTGGCAAATATGACACAGGACCTAGAGGAGACCCACAACTTCCCGGAGCAGCAGCTCCTGGATGCCAAGGGGGTTATGCCCAAATGTCTCAAGTGTCACTGGACAGCTGTACTTAGGCAACTGAGTTGAGTGAGCCTGGATGGCCCAAGTCACATCTGTCTATCTCAAACTTGCCATGGGAGAGGGGTAGTCAATTATGTTATCAAGATTTTGACCAGCATAACTCTCTAAATTCAGAAAGTGAGCAATAAACTGCAGCACTTTCTTATCTCTGATATATGGGAGCATTAACATTGAAAACACACTTTTTCTCTCTTTCCATAGAGGGAATGATTGTTGTCTCCCAGTGGCCTTGCTAGGAAAGTTCCCTTTGCCTTTATTGAATCCAAGAAGTAAGCACAGGGCCCTTCTCCTGCAGGGACTGTGTACTGTAAGAAAATAAGTGTTACTTTAATGTTTCATGAAGCATGAGTTCAGCACTGGGCTCAGTGTGAATATAACACTCAAGTGTTTCCATCTCTCTTTAATGTTTAACAGGTTGATAGAGCTCCTTCCTTTTGTTACCATAAATTACTACTGGGGAATTATAAGCAAGTGCCTCACCTACAGTAAGGCTGCATCAGATCCATTTGTTTACTCACTTTTACGTCAACAGTACAAAAAAGTTCTGATCAACATTGTCAATAGGATACTTAAGAGGGACCTGTATCCATCATCGGGGTACAACAGCTCTCTTGACACTGAAAATGACTACTGCTTGCACAGAACAAATTAACACCATGAAAAGCATTCCCCTTTGAGTGGGACAGGTGTTTGCTGCTGCTGGAAAGCTGCCTTTTCCCTCTCATGCTGACAGTGGTGACCGTGTCTCCAGGGTGTGAAAGCTGCATTAATGCAATGCATTTCTTTGTGGACTTTCATGAAAGGCTCTTCCCTGGTTTGCAGCCAAGTACAATATATGGCAAAGCCTCGTCCCTGAGTGAATGGAGTAGGCTTGAGGAGTTTAAGAGAGCCTTTGGAGGCTTTAGAGAAGCTTAGAGAGCTTTTAATGTTGCATTTCTGAAGACTTGGTATGTTTTGGAGCATCCCACATCAGATGTGATATTCCAGCATCTTCTGGGACCACAGAAATCCCCAGGTTGGAAGGAGAGGTTCAGAGTCTGCCGTGCTGCGCATGTGACTTGGCAGTCCTGGATCTGCTCTGTTAGTTTCAAACATTACAAATAAGTCTTTTAATTGATTGATTTATTGTATTGGTGCCTCAAGTGAGTGATATGGGTCAGCACTTTGAATCTGAGATTGTTATTATTATTATTTATTACTAGGCATCATGATTGTAACATAGCCTTTAGGAAGTGGTACATATATTTGATATACCAGTATTCTACCAAGCATAACCAAAGTCCACATATCTGAGTTACTAATATTTAGCACTTCAATGGTATGTGATTACAATAATTGCAGCAACAGTAACAAAGACATATATGGAATTTAGTTAAATAGCACTGTAGTTCCATCACTGAGCTAGTAGTCCTATTCAAACACGCTTTTATTCAGAAAAAAAAATCAGCTAGACAGTAGAAGTGACAGATACCACTGTGTTTAAGAAATATTACTTCAGAAGCTATCTGTTTTCAAAGAACAGGTTAAAATATATTAATTCTTTTTAACGGATATATAATGCGTAACATATTTCATGCATTGGCTATATTTCGTGGATTGTAATAATATTGTACAATCTTTTCTTTTATAATGATCAATTAATCTGGTGATTTTAACTGATACCAAGAGATGTCTGAAAGATATTATAACAGACCTGCTGCCAAATGCCCAGAAACACAAAGCTGCTTTATTATTATATGTATTTTTCTCTTTTATTTATTTTTAAATCTAAACAGGCTTTGGAAAAATATGGGAATTATTTTTGAACAATATTCCTTTGATTATATAAGATATGAATCAAAATATTCTATGGAATTCAATAAGCTACTATTTTCTAATCAAGTACATAAGGGGAAAATTAAAGCAATTCTAAAATATATTTTAAGCAAAAAAAGAAAGAAGACAGTAAAGAACACTTATTTTTTATGTAACAACAGACTTGACCCTATTAAGCATTGAGAAGGCTATTCCTGGTCAAACTAAGCATATAAGCATGTGATTAGGCACAAATATGATTTCCTTTGAAGTTAACGGCTCTGTTCCCATGCTGAAAATTAAGTACATGCTTAGCTGTTTTGTAAAATCAGTATTGAGCAGTCAGCACAGGGAGAGGGTTTTTCCCACCATCCACAATGAGGAAGGAGAGCGTCTTATTGCAATCCCATTGAAGTCAAGGAAAGGTGATGCTGCGTAACAAATACAAAGTTCTCTTATCTCCTGCTTTTAATCTCTGAGGCCATTCTGATGCTTTTTTTTTTTTTTTTTTGCCATGCAATTACCTTAGGCCTCTGTGTTTTGCATCTATAGTTCTGCCTGTGTTTAAATTGAATGTACTATAATGGTTTTGTCTTCTTAGTAAAGTATTTGTACTCTCTCCAATTTTGTGTAAATACAGTATTTCAGAAAAAAGAAAAATGTTGTCTATGGAATCTTTCCAGTTTTACTATTTTCCTTTCTGCCGCCACACGCCTCCCCCCATTGACACCTGATGCTTCAGTCTTTCATTTCAGCTGCAACAGAAGGACCAGATATCTCTGTGGGGGGTGGGAGGGATGCTAAATTTTCAGTTATTTTTTAGTTGGTTTTGTGCCAAAAAGTTTTGATAGACTACAGCATTTATCTGTGAATAAACATGAGTTTAATGATACCTACAATTGTTAGCTTACCTTTCGTTTCCTAAACAAAATGGTGCTCACTTCAAGAAATGAATGTTACATTTAAGTGTATTAAATCGTCACCTCCAAGACATAGGAATGAAATAAGTCTTTACTTTGATTTTTTTCTATCTTAGTATCAAGAAAATAATAGAGGAGAAAAAAAATAATAAATTTTAAAGCTGTTACAGTAATAAACTTTTAAAGCTATTAAACTATAAGCCACATTTTAAAGGTATAAAACAGGACATAGTTAAACTGCTACATCTGCTATTAGGTTAATTAATGAAGCTTATTCGTGCCAGTTGAGGGTGTTGTCATGCACACACTTCACAATACCACTCAGCCTCACAAAGCATTGAACATTTTTGGAGGTGCTTAGATCTAGATGGGGAAAAAAAAAAATATTTTGAGCCTGTGCTGGGTATTCCAGAATGTCGTTTAGAGTTAATTTCCACAGAGAATTAGGAAGCTAACTCTTGTATGCTCCAGATGTAAAGACACCAGAAACTAAGGAAGGGTGAGGAGAGCTGTAGTCCTCTCAATCTTGATTTGCAATGAAGTTTAAGTGTCTTGTTTAGCATTACCAGAAGACATCTTCCTCTGCTCAGTATGCGCAGCCAGTTCTGCAGATAAATTTTTCTTTCTCCCTCCCTTCTTCTCTCTATCCTTTCCCCACTCCTCACCAAAGAAGGGCTTGCTCTACTTTTCTAACCAAGTAGGAAGCATTCAGTCAGAGGTCTCAGTTTCATTCCTCCAGCTTCCTGATGTAGGCAAAATTCCCATTAGCTTGGTGCTTCATTCACCATGCTATGGGTTATTTGGGGATAGGAGGAGGTAGGGGGAAACCACACTTTGCCCCCATTTTTTGGGATGCTGCAAAAAGGATCAAAGGATTTAGTGCTATACTGGAGGTGAGAATATATATCTTACATGATAGGAGCATTCACCAGAGGTGGTAAGGTTGTGGATTTCCTCTTACTTGCATTTTAGATAAAACAAACATTGGATATGCAGTCCTGACAGTAGAGTTTAGTTTGGATCAAAAGATTTCCAACAAAGCTGAAGTGTGATATCCAAAATGGCATCTTGCCATTGACACACTCTTGCCAACTCAAAGGTAGTGCTCCAGAAAACTTTATCTGGATTTCCTGCCCAATGGCCTGGAGTGACTTTTCCCAGGAGACAAGAGACTGGCAAATACCTGGCAGGTGTGTTGTGGAGTTGGAAATGCCACGGGGGTCAGCAGGAACTGCCTGATACTATGACTTCCCTAGCAGAAGGAGCCACCTGTGGCTGCTTAGGGAAAACGATGGTGAGTTGTTAAAAGAGTGTCCGAGAGAAGCATCATTTTGTAGCAGCAGGGCCCAAAAAGCTCCTGGGCTGTGATTTTTCAATGCCTGGTTGCAATTTGAATCAGCAAAACAGGTCTCTCCCCTTCTCCAAACTTATATTTTGGCTGCAGGGACTGGAGTTGAGAACTGCACCTTCCCTGGGTGACCCCTTCATCCTAATGGCAGTCAGAGTATAAACGCTGCAGCACAGCAAACCTTTATTGAGTCCATGCAACTGAGGAGATATTCAACTGCTTTTTTTTTTTTTCTTAACACATCTCCACCAAAGTATGTCCAAGCCTGATGATTTGAATGTTTTCTGGTGAGATCCAAGATGGAGCTTTGAATCTGCCTTTTCAGAGGAAAGAAGTGAGTCTGTATGCCCCGTTTCCTAAGTGAGTGCTCTGATGTTTATTTATTGCAGAGAGAGTTGCCTCTTCCAAAGGGAATAGAATTTTTTTTTTTTGCCTCACACCTATATTGCAGGTAATCTCCGAGACTGACAGTCAGACTGAGTTTCTGAGGCAATAAAGGTGAAGTAGTGCTTAGACTATAGGTTCCCAAAAGGTTTAGGTACATGCTGGATCCCAGCCTGCTAAGCCCTGACAAGATAAATGTGCTTCAGTCCAAGTGCAAAAACAAAACTAGTTTTCTTGGGTTGTGCGATACTGAAAACATATGTGTCTCTGAGCTTAGATGGCAGCTGAGCAATAAGGACCTTGGTTTCTGTGAATTTTTACTCCACAAATTCCTCAGCCTCACTGAAGAGCAGGCATGTTATTCATCTGGGTAAATCAGCACCTAATAAACCTTTGCAAATAATCTGTGCAGCTTGGTGATTACTGAATACGTATTTATATTGTCTTAACATGAGTAATGGTGGTACTGAACTTGAATTTCAGAGCTAATTGCAATGTTAGGCTTATATGGTTAAGCATGTGGGAACCAAAGTTCTTTAATGCAAGTGCTCTTATACAACCAGAGAGTGATCGTGCTCTTTACAGCTATGGGTTAAAATCTGAGCTCTTTGAGAAATTTAGTAGCATTGAGCCTTGTGGAATAAAATGACCTGTGACAAGATGTTCAAACTCATCTAGGTAAAGTGCTTAAAAAAAAAAAAAAATCCAAACTGAAGAGAACTATCCTATGTGAGTGGGAAGGTTTAACTACATCACCTGGAGGGCATATTTTCTGTGGTATTTAAGGCTTTTTTTTCTCTCAAAATAATTATGTGCACTTGTGCACGCAGAATGAACAAGCAACTGTGTATCTGTCTCAAAAGCATGTAGCATATTTCAGGATTGTGAAGTGCAAATGGCTGGTTCGGTCTGGTTCAGGAGGACACCTGGTTTGTGGGAGGTGTTAATTACACAAGTAAATTAAAGGTTCTGGTTTTTATTTTTGTAAAGCAGGTCCAATTAATATTTAATGGCTCAGCTGGAGACACAGCAGAGATGACCTTAAGAAAGGTTGTAAATATATGAATGTCTTTCAGTGCCAGAAGTTGGGGAGAGCAAAATGTCACCTGGCACCGTACATGCAACCAGCTCCTTCTCTGAGCTGGAGCTGTTTTTCCCTGTATCTTATGGATGTGACACAGGCCAAATGACTGGTCCCGTTTCTGC